CAAACTACATTGTTCTCAAAACTACACATCTGAAAAAAAAATAGTTGAGGTTTTTTACGCCCCCATCGATCATTTAGTAGGCGGGCTTCCGACCCTGCTTGTCAGGGCCAACCTGTGCTTTAAGGGATACATTCCATCAGAATGACCAACATACTCGATAAAAGTTCTCCCCACTCGCGAATTGAACTCGGGTCTCCTGCGTGCGACAACGAAGCTTTTCACTCCTGCTCAATGAATTGGTTAAAAACACGTTGTATACTCCATCTAAAATACTGGCGGTAAGAAATTTATTATAATTCAACTCTTCCAGCCAACGAGACACAGGCTTTTGTTTTACCAAGTTAAGTTTTCGGCAACACACCGTCGAACAGTTTCATTTTGAGAAAGTTCCATAATTTTTTCTGTACAACAGTGACTTATCGGGACGCGTGTCAACAAAGATGTCTAAATAAAATTGAGCATTTGCTTGAATAAGTTTAATTGAGATAGTTTGACTAAGATTAAACTGAATTTACTTGTAAGACATGCAATTTAGAGTGCTTTGTGTAGGCGTGGGCAAATAAAATTATTTCAATTTCGTCATCCATATGTTCCAATTCTGTCAGAGACTTTGTGTACGCCATCTTAGCTTAAGTTCATTGTCTTTTGTGCCCAAAAATTAAGATAAAAACCAACGTTTTCGGTAAAAAAAAAAAAAAAGAATGACACTCCATAGACTGTGTCCACTTAATACACAAATTAAGAGTCAACTTAGAATTTAATGTTGCATTTCAAGCTTAAAAAACAACAACTCGGGACCAATTCCGATGGAGTAAGAAAATCGAGACAGGCAGGAATTTACATGTAGTTTAGGCGTTTCTGAATCAGGGCTGTTTGACACAAACACTTTCTCTAATGGCCTTGAATAACTTTGTCATTTTCTAGTCTACAGCTGTTTAAGGTAAAAAAAAGAAAAAAATCCCAACTCTGGATTTTTCTACTTGGTGAAAATGGTGAAATTGGTGAAATTGTATGGGTTTTACGCCCTATCCACACTATTAGGTTATTTAAGGGGCGGGATCCCCTAGTTTAACGTCCGTCTCCGATAGGACCGAGCCCAGTGGGAAGTTCGTGTAAAGTGCCTTTCCCAAGGACACAACTTCGGACCGAGCTGAGGCTCGAACCCCCTAACCCACAATCTCACGATTACGAGTCCGGTAGCCTAACCACTGGGCTACCGACGCCACTTTTTATACTTGATTCAGAGGCATACGCCACAATTGTAACAATAATTGCGCGAAATTGGAACTACCGACCGTATGATACTAATAGCCTTATTTTTGTTACACAAAATAATCTACTTGCACATCTACCGTTGTAAAACAAAGTATAAAGGTTGGAATCTCGGATGGACACGAAATAATGGTTCTGCATTCTGCATTTAACAGAGGGGGCGTGGGAGAGCAAGAAGTGAGGTCACTATTTAGGCATGATGAAATTGGAACATCCTGTCATTGTAGAAATTCCGTATTTCTCCCCCTCCCCTCTCTCTCTCTCTCTCTCTCTCTCTCTCTCTCTCTT